AGCCCAAGACCAGAAGTCCACTAAAGTATGTGGCCATGTAATGTATGACTAAATATCTTACTGCTATGCTATTTGTTCTAAGCTGCCAATCAAAAAGCTAAAGGATAAACTCTGCATAAATTGGAAAAAGATTTGACTGATGTAAAAGAAATAATGAGATAACGGAAGAGCTCAGTGAAACACCCAGTTAAACACTTTAACGAGAAAGGCTGTTCAGACTGCTGTCACTAATTGACATGTATAGCCATATTTCCAGTGTTTAATCAATTCGCTGGTTTTGTGGTGCATGCTATATTAATGAATTTTCCCTTCGTTGGAGCAGAAGCGATAAAACAAAATTAGTCAGGCTCAAAGTAAACGGTAAACATCCAATCCCCAGGTTGAATCGGGACAACGAAATCTCCACCTTTTAAGATTTTACCCTGGGCGACCAAAAGTTCAATTAGGCAACTGCCATTCACGAAACTGCCGACTCATATGCAGTTTAATGCAAGTAATAGGGAGCCATTTTTAAAATGCAAGGTGTGTTGCATTAAATGAGCATGCGCTCTGAGCATAAAGACCATTTCCATTAAAGAATAATGAATTGCATTACCGCAGTAATCTGGATTGTCCTTGCAGCACTGCAAAGATTTGAACAATGGCTAAATTAGAAGAGAAAATTTTCCCAAGAACCAACCAGCTCTCATCATGGATAAAATGCACTCGTGAGCCTAGAAATAATCCAAATAATGACCCTTAGTGCCAGTGTGACAGCCATGTGAGCTTTGCTGTTAAAACAAGGTCAGATGTGAACATGTCTGATGTGTTTTGCCATGCGCACGTGACCCTGTGGGGTCTGTTTTTGGTCTGTCCTACTGGGTAGAAAATAGTGGGTCAGTTCACTTCACTTACTTGCCCCTGAATTGAGAAGGAAAAAAAAAAAAAGGATCAGGGCCACCCTAAACAGGGGCAGTTGTCACAGCCTTGCGTGATGAGTCATGCTGTTTATGCAAGAAGCCAGGGGGTGGTGTTCCAGCCGGTGGTGAGATACGAGTGCTGCTACAGTCGCCCAGGCCTGAACCCAATGGGTAACAAATCAGATATGTGGAGCCAGGGACACATCATTCAGCCTGCAGTGCTGACATGTCAAAAAGGATCAAATTTAAACGAGAATATGATACAATACCGTGAAACTGTATACATTGTGGAGGCTGAGTGTAGGGAAGGAAAGAAAACACTTGTTTGCACTGACAAACTACATTCATGTCTCAATATCTGATGGTTCAGAGCAGGGTGACATCTTGAATTGTAATCATATGTAATTTTGCACATACTGAATATAATGTTTAACTTGGGCCTGGCTTATATCATAGAAGTATTCACTGACCTCATTTGAAGAGGGCATGCAGGGTTACAGTTTAATCTCTTATTCAAAATGTCATCCATTGAACAAACATGGAGGGGACACTGACAGTGATGGACCAGGAAAGCACAGCCATGCCGGTGAATAGATAATAGTCTGGGAATAAACGCCACACGGTCAAACAGTCAGACGAAGGGGGGAAAAAAATGTGAGTAAAATGATTTAAATGCTGCACAGCCGGGGGAATAATTGGAAAATGTATGTATTGGATTGTGCTATATGCAGCTTTGATTCCTCCCCTTTACACCGTTGTACCTCCCTCTCCTTTCACAGCTCAATCAACCTCATGGCAAGGGAGGTCAGGAGTCACTGAGTGATTATATGCATACATACAAGGTGGAGAAGTGTATGGTAACACTGTGTGCTTCTTAGAAATTTCCCTAGCATCTCTCTGCCTGTAACTGATGCTTTCATGGGAACCTGAGAATATGTTATCACAGTATGTCCCATAGGTTTGGGACAGGTAAAAAGTGTATAATTCCTGTAATGTATTGCAGAAGTGCCTCTCATAGCCTTGTTACTGTTGGCAGACTATCTTTCCTAATGTCTTTTGCGTTGGGCGTGTAGTCAGTTTCCACAAACATTGCACTGTACTCCCTGGTCATTTGGACACATTGGTAATTACCTGTCTGTTGAGAATCAAACAAACATCTGCCTGCACAGCAGAAAGCTGCCATCTCTAACCTGTCTGTATGGGCATGCTGTGCTGCTCTCAGAAAAGTGTTTCCAGTGACATTACTGAGCAATGTTTGGACAGTTACGGGGGGGTAATGGACAGTTACAGGAGGGGTGAATGGACAGTTACAGGGGGGGTGAATGGACAGTTACAGGGGGGGTGAATGTCAATCTGTAACATTGCTGAGTCCATCTGTCTGTAATGGATTTTTAAAATTCAAAGATGGGTTTCTTTTGACAAGACATTTACAAATAAGAGTCCCCGTGCCCATGAGATATTTGGCACCTGGCACATGAGGCAGTTAGGTATGATGTATCAAGCAAAGATATTATTCACAGCAAAACAGGGCGGCTGACTTTTGAAGCTGAAGATACTGGTATCATGTGACACTGGACGACCTAAGGAATCTGAAACAACCATGTCATGCTAGCCTTTTGGGAAAAGAGCTAAATAACACAAAGTAAGGAAGGAAGGAACTCTCACCTCAATATATCGGAATGAAAATGGGTTCTGTGGACGCCCATGAGTCTCCCTTTTGCAGACATGCCCATTTTATTTAAGTCACCGCAGTTTGGGGCAATAACCATGCAGTTTTTTTGCATGCAGTGCAGATGAGTTATTTTCACATATGGTATTTACATACTTCTGCATTCTGGGGTCACTAAAAAGTCTTGGCATTGTGTAAACTGGCTGTGACTGCAAAGCTGAGACTCTTGTGGACTTGTGGATTCACTGACCACAAACCAGAAACCCTGAGCATTCAGGGGATGCCTGTCACAGGTATATTGACAATAAGGGTGTTTTATCAGCAGTTTCCAGAACAGAAGTGCTCTCCAGTTCTTAAGTAAAGTTTTTGATACCAAATGAGGTGTTTCTAAAGTTCTTGGTGTCTTGATGGGCTATTATCACCAAAATCTGTGCAACAAAACGCATCAGATTGCTGCAACAACTTATGAGCATGAGAATGTCCATCATATACATCCATCATAATGCTCTGCGCCTCTATACACTGAACTTTTAAAGTCTGAATGGGTGCCTAACCAAAACACAATGTTTATTACAGATTTTTGACTAGATAAAGTTTACTCATAGTAATGATTTGCATCTCAAATAAATCTTCAGGTTTCCAGCTTTTAGATGATATATACCACTTCTGTGTGGCCTATACTGTTGACATGCTATCGCCCCCCAAATATCCCCTGTCGATGCTTTAAAAAAGGGTCTATGGTGGATCTCATAGGGTTTTAAGAATGCTGTGTGCAAGAACATCATAAGAACATCATAAGCCTGTGCTGGCAATATGACAGCTTTATTTCATGTACGCATGATGAGAAAATGTTACTCTATCTTTAAACATTATTCAAAGATTATGCCAACATGTCAAATAACTGTATTTACAAATGATACTGCACGTCTACAAGGGGCTATCAATGTCTGTAGAGGAGACTGTTACGTTAGATCTCAGATGAGATATTCAAAGATAGGTGGCTGCCTCTCTCCGAGCAGAACTGGAGACTATAATTTAATAATACAGAGCTAGGGCGATAATGTGATGGAGAAGACAGTGAAACAAAATGTCCATTCTATAGCTCCAAGGTAAGTAAACAGACAGGTTTGAAATAGGAAGTCGTTCCCTGTTGACAGAGAGCAGTCATGGCAGATTGGCCGAGACGGATAATTGTCCTATCTGATTCAGCATCTGTTTGAGCGTGTGGAGTGTTTGCTTATTGTAAATCAGCACGCAGAGGAAGAATTATATTCCTGTCAGAGCATCAGAGGCAAACTGCAGAGTTGTGGTGCCTCCACCGTATCTGTGGTAGTGGGAAGAGATAATTCATATCTCATGTTCATATCTCTGCTTGGGATAGTTCTCCTTAGGGGGTTGTTGTACAGTTCACTGTCAAAAAGTTTGCCTGCTTGCGGGTATTGTCTTCATTTTTTCGGCATATTCTCCTGTCTCTGTTCGTTTAGATTGCTGAAATGAGCAGATGGCATGCTCACATATGCTGGAGGAGTAAAAATGTGCCTGCAAATAGGGCCCAAAGTCCTATTTTTACTTCATTATTAACTGGGAGAGAGAAAGGTCAGACAGTGAAGAATCCTGCTGAACCTAATGAACCATTGAAATAAACTGCAGACCTCAGGCACACTATTCAGAAGAGTCAACAGTATATTGCCGCTGTTAACTAAGTGTGTTGGAGTGTGTGTATGACTTTAAGTGTGGTGTCTGATAGCTCCCATACAAACAGAGACACTCATCAACTTAGGAAGTGGGAGAGGAGGAGGAGGAACTGGTAGTCAAAGCAGCCTTAACTGGCAATGATAATCGAATGAAAATGATGCTGAAATTGGAGTTATTGGTTTTCACAGAGAAGAAGATTAAATGCACTGCGGAAATCTGCTAAGATTATTTTTAGGGCATGCTTAAACCATAACGCTTGCAGTTTTTCAGTAAATAAACACAGAAGGATTGGCAAGCACAAAAAATCCTCGCCAACTGGCAATAAAAAAGAAGGAAAGGGGCTTTCTTTCTAGGGTAAATATACTGTTTATGCATATGGAAACATTAGACGTGACACCACCACGCCCTCAGTGTCAAATGCAGAAACTATACTCAATGTCAAACTCAAATTATTCCTGTTATACTCAATTATAAATGGAAGTTACCTTCAAATATATGAAACGTCTGCCCCTTTAAAATTCATATTTGCTATGCTTTTTGGCATGCATAATGACAAGTGTCTGATAAAAGCACATTTTAAATAATATTCATTAAATAACTGCACAGGTTCCTCCCTTCTCCCTAAGCTGAGACAGCGGGTGTGTTCTGTTGAGTGGGATGTAATAGTCAAACAAGGGTCTTTGTCTAAGACGTTCATTACTAATGATTAACATAGCATCTTTCTCCCTGCCCCTCAGGAAACATGGTGAGCAAGGAGGGTGGCAAATGCATGCTCACCAACTCAGAGTCTGACTCGGAGGCAGCGCCCTTGCCCTCCACCTCGCTGGCGCTGGAGGTGAAGTATTCCCTGGAAGCCAGTCGACAGGTGAGGAAGAGAAACAAGGCCCTGCAAGTGCGTTTCAAGGATATCTGCGAGGCACAGAACGAGCAGAGGGAGGCGGAGTTGCAGGCAGCGGGGAAAGGCGGCAAGCCGAATTCATACAAAGTGGCGTACCGCAAGTACATGACTGTCCCTGCCCGCAGATCCATCCCAAACGTCACAAGGAGCACAGGCGTGCAGACGTCCCCTGACCTGAAGAAACGCTATCAGACCTTTCCCTTTGAGCGCAAGAAAGGTCACACCTTTAAACACGTGGCGGCCGTGGAAACTTATAAAGGTCAGAATAACGGTTTTGTCATGGAGGTGAAGCAGTCCAAGGCTGCTGAGCAGGGTTTAGATGAGGAGGAGGAGGAGGGAGCCTGTGGGGGGAGTGGAGTCCGGAGGACCAGGGCTCTGCTCCATACTAATGAGTGCATTGCCACAGTGGAGCAGCACACTGCACCTGATGGCCTGTGCTCTGACGCTCTGCTGCTCAGTTGCTCTGCAGACACAGACTGCCTTGCAGACACACAGAGAGGAAGCGGAGCCGGAGCACAGGCAGAGTACCAGCTCTGCAGTGTCCCATCCAAAGCCAGGACAGGATTACAACACAGGGAGGCCGATACAGACCACTCGGCCAAGAGGCAGCTGCTCAATCTGGAGGAGGGCTCGTCCCGAACCCTGCCGGACAGGGCCTCCAAGGTTACGGGCCCCATCGCCTGGAACTCCCTTACACAGGTGGAGTGCCTGGACAGTCCGTCTGTGCGGAGCAAGCGGAAGAAAGCCCTGCAGCTCAACGGGCTGCAGAGTGAGACGCTACCACGTTCCAGCGGAGGCTGTACAACACAGGCACAGTGCCACACGGGACAGTTGTCTGCCCGGCCTCTACGGGGCATGGAGGAGCCTCTGACACCCTGCAGAGGTGGCGAGGCTGGTGGGGCACCGCCCGACCAAACACAGGAGGCCTGCAAGCAAATAGTGCCTATGAATCAGGACGGGGATGTTAAAGCACAGCTCCAGGCCATGGAAAATCTCATCAGCTCCAGCCAAGAGACCATCAAGGTGCTGCTGGGGGTCATCCAGGAACTGGAGAAGGGGGAGGCCCACAGAGAAGGGTAAGACATGTCACTGATAGCCCGTGCTTTACACTAGACATGTGCCGCTTTGACTTTTTTCTCTCCTGACACCGAGTCCAATACTTCACCTCAGGGTACCTGCCAAAACTGAGTACCACTCTGATACCAGCACTCTCTTTTTCCCCAATTTAAAATCTGCACAGCTCACTGCATCAGACTCATTTGAATCATTTTTGTGTAAAAGAACATGAGGCCAAGGTTGCTGAAGCACTTAAAACTGAGCTGGTGGACAACCATGACTATACTGATAGCGGCAACACAAATTTTTCTAACAACACTGACAAAGAAATTGTGGATTGGTCACTTAATGGCCGATCTCCTTCATAAGGTCAGTGTCGGGGCCGAGACTGATTTGATGAAATGGATTGGTGCCTTCCTACTTTACACTGGTGTCAAGTACTCATTAGCAAAAAACAAATGCCATATATCTATAAATCACAATTGAGAAAAGGGACGAATGTTCATAGGGCCAAGGAAACACCGGGGACACAGAGCACATTCATGATTCAGCATGAGCGGGAAAAGTAGCCTCTTGCTGTGTCACATTATTTCTAGATCTTGAGGACAAGCTTGTATGTGTGACAGCTGTTCAGCAGAGCCTTGACTGAAAAAACACAGTGTTGAAGAAGAGATCACAGCTGCATGTAACTGGGATAATGTGGCTTTTACCTAGATGTGCCCTGCATTGCTTTTATAGCAGTGTCTGTTTTTGATGATTTCCCTCCAGATATGATGAAGCTGCTGCAGAACTCATTTACAGACAAATTATCTCACACAATATGGCCCAAGTAGTTTGGTGACCTGCCGTATAGAAGCACTGACACTATAAATGTGGCCTTTAAACTACATTTAACCCAAGGCCAGGAAATTGCAGACACATTTTCACTATTTTTACTGGACATGGTTCAGCCACTGAAAAAGAAATAATAGGTAAAGAGACAGTTCACCTTACCATCAAAAATATTTTTGTCCTCTTGCCTGTAGTGCTATTTGTCAATCTAGGTTGTTTTGGTGTGCTTCCTTTTACGCAGTAATACAGTTGGTAGGTGTAGTTCAGTAGAGAGAAAATAGTTCCTACATGAAACTGCTCACAACAAGGTCTGTGGATTATCTTGAGTAACCAGGTCATGATTTCTGGAAAGAGACATTGCTGTTGAGATTTTCAAATGTATTTTTTGTTGTTGCTTTGAGCACCACAACCCGAGTGCCATCTAGTTTCATTACATTTGAGAGAAGGCAGACATCTCTACAGCTGATATCTCCACTGCTCCGCATCTCACACCAAAACAATCTGCACTCATAAATAGTGCTAAAGGTAAGAGGGAAAATATGTAGTTTTGAATTTAAGTTTTAATAGGTCAAATTCCAAATATGTTAAAATATGGGAATTTAATCATTATGATGCTGAATAAATCTTATTTTTCCACAGAGGTGATCAAATCATAGAGTGACACTTGCTTAAGCAAAAACTAGAAATTTAACAATTGGCCTCATCCAGCTGCACACCATGTTTATCTAGTAAGTCCAAGACCTTTGAAAAAGCCATGGCCTGTGAAAAAGCCATTTACTGTCCAATGGACACTGAGTATATACAAAAGGGCTGCAGATAGCATCTAGCCTGCTGAAATAGAGGATTGTCTATCTAAAGGGATGAGGCAAACAAAATGGCCAATTTGCTGAAGTGAATTGCTGGGGCTCAGCACTCAGATCCCTATCTGTTTTGACCGGCGCTGTGGAGAGGTACGGACTGAGAAAAATCCATATAATCAACATCATACCAACGTGGAGTCCAGAACCTTTGGGAATTAACCACACAGACACACCTGCCAGGCTTCTAGCCACACAACCACAAATGCCTCAAAGTGTATGAAAGCAACTCTCAGTATCAACTTGAGTGCAAAACTGTTCAACAGGGCTGGAGCGAGAGGCAGATCTTACAACAGTGCGAGTTTACACCATCTAAAAAAGCAATTATCCCCTTTCAATCTCGCACAAGGCAGCCTTAATCTCCTTATCAGCACACTCATAAAAGTGTGCTGTGTGAGTGAAAAAGTGAGCGGACATGTGGTGCAGCATGGGGAGCCATCTTCTCTGTGTTGCCAAGCACATCTGGCTTATCAGATGTGTCTAAAGTGGCAGGTGGGAGAGAAGAGGAGAGGAGAGACTTCATTTGTAAATAAAAATTAGTGACTACTGTTTAATTGTGCCATCTGGTCACTTACATAAAGAAACAATCACAGTCTTCCCATACCTTAATTACAAAGCCTACAGTTAAAGTCAGTGAGCAGTATAAGCCTCTTGTAATCCATCTGAGCTCAGCCGAACCTCTACTTTTCTATACGAGCACAGTCGTCTTCCATCTGTACACATTTCCATTCTTTTTTAAGCGAGCCAAGCAAAAATTTCTAATGCTGCTTTAGTCACACTACATTAGCTTCATGCTCCCCTTACATAAATGTCACTGACACAACAAATAGGAGTGCCCACCGGCTATAGGTGAACTGTGAGCGCAATTATGTGTGATATATAACTGCTTATGTTATATGACATTCATTTTTCAAGGAAGGAAACACAGCGGCATGGGCATTTATCACGACGTATGTGTTCATGACACGCCGCTCAGACACAAATTGAAATTCAATAGCTAACGTGCTGAGACTAATAAAAAACACTGTTCTCCCCTACACAAAACACACACACACAGAAAAGAAAAAAGAAATGGAAAAGGTCTTTGGTAGTCTTGATAAAAAGAGGTGGAACCTTCCATTAATATCCACTCTACATTTAAACTAAAGACTGGCGATAATAATGATCCTTAAATTTTCCCTTTTATTTCTCCACTGTTCCCCTGACCTGTGTGACCTCAGGAGGAAGACAACAAGGATGTGGGATGGAAAAAATTCAGTCGAAGTTTTTAGGTTAAAGAAGTAAGTACAGTAAGAAGTGCAAATCAAAGCTGTAGCAAAGTCAGACAGAAACAATACCACAGTTGATAAATTAATTTAAAAGTAAGCCAGAATTCTAAAATTAACTTACTGTATTTAAACTGCTGAATAAGAATTTTAGGCTTGATTCTGTCAATCAATCAATTTTATTTTTCATATGTACTGTAATCATATAAGGAACAATGCTAGCTTAGTGGCCTGCTGTATCTGTTACATTCTTCCTGACGTCAGGCCATAAGTTATCCGGGTATTTGGGATCCTTAATGATTCTCCTAGCCTTAAGACCCATTTCCACCAAACACTTTCAGTATGGTACCTTTGGAACCAAAAGTAACCCTTCAGACATGGTACCTAGACCTGAGCATTTCCACCGCAGGGCTACCCAAAAAAAAAAAAAAAAAAAAAAAAAAAGGTGGACAGTACGAAACGGATCCATTGGTACCATCTACAACTTTTCACAGAAGAACGGAAAAAAAGCGTACCGAACTGCTCAGTGGAAAGAGAGCTTTTAGGTCTTTGGATACAAAGTCAGTATTTTCCCTATGCCTTTCTTTAAATTCATCATCCAATAGAAACAGACACCTTGCACACTGAGTTTGATGCATTTTACTGTTCCATTTGTTGTGAAAATCTGCAATACCAGACAAAATGCAAGAACACATTTCCTCCCCTGCTGCTCTCCACTGGAGTTTCCTCCTCATCTGTCACCAGTGTGACAGTGTCGCCTGTGTCTGACATTTGGCACCATGGCTACCTGAAGGGACTGTCCACCCTCTCACTGTTGCTGCCTCTCTCTCTCTCTCTCTCTCTCTCTCTCTCTCTCTCTCTCTATCTGTCTGTGTGCAGTCTTCATCGTCTATGACATCCTCCTCCTCATCAACATCGGTATAAACATCTTTCAGGCAGGGTAGAGCTGCATCTATAGTAAGTTCAGCTGAACAAACGTGCTGTTTTTATACCATGCGGTGATGTTCCCTGTCAGAGCACTGTTGATAGTGCAGGAGTAGAAATTCAACAGTATTTGAAGGAAAGTCCTAAAGTGTCTGAGGTGAAACAGTCTATGTCTTGTTTTTCTCACCACTGAGTTGGTATGCAGCTCCCAGGTCAGGCCCTCAGTGATGTGGGCACTAAGGTACTTGAAGCTGTCTATCCACTCCACTAAGGGCCCACTGATAATAATGGGGGAGTTGTTTTTATACACAAAGGCTTGTACTTTTTACTTTTGTTAAATGGTCTAGATATTTTCTAATACAGATACTTTCCTAGTACATCATGGCTATTCACTAGTTATACTTCTGTGCATTGGTAGCACTTTTTTATTCTGTTCCTGCACTTTGTGATGGGCCTGGGTCAGATATGTGACTATCAATTATTTATTTCAAAAGTGAAATGATACACATTGCCATTTTTTTTACTACAGCCATTTGCATTTGTTTGACATTTGGTATTATCAAAAGCTAAAAAAAATAGGCTTGAATAGGCTTCTGAAAAGCCTGGCACATCTATATTTCCTGGAATTAATATCCAGCCCAACTGAAATTGTAATTGAATAGCCCTGCCTTACATTGTTATTTTGTACAAGGCCATTTAGCTGGGATAGTTTTATGTTAATACAAGAGTTGGATATTCAAGTCACCTATTGTCGTCAATGCAGAAAATGAACGGGCACCCTAACACCCAAAACAACTTCTTCAACTTTGCTACTCAGAAAAATACAAACAGTTAAAGAGGAAAACGGGTAAAAAGCAAACGTGAAAGAAAGTAAGTAAGAGGAACAACAAAGGGCTATAACTCTTTTACCAACTTGCTGGGAAAAAAGCAAAGACGTGGAGCATACTGACTCGCCTTATGTCCCCACACCCCATGCATGCAAGCACACACACACACATATCCATCTGATACAGCCCTGCCCAGGGCATACAACACAGTGTGAAGGTTGGGATGCAGTTCTAGAGTTTATCATTGGCTGCATCCAACAGCACAAAGCTCGGGAATAAATTTGCTGCATCATCAGCCAGTGTTGGCAGGCCAGACCCAATTAATCACTCTCATGGGGACTTGTTGCGAGCCTGTCTATTAACACTGTGTATGTGTGCATGTTTTTATGCCTTTGGACTCCCACCCACTCAGTGACCTTTGGGAGAGCTCACCTAGTAGCACAAGGGGGGTAGGGTGGATAAATATACTGTTAATGGCACTTTTGGCTCCACTCTCCCCAGGGAGGCCTGCCGAAATGAGCTCTGCTCTCTTATTTTCTCTTATCAACTCAGCGTGAGAGAGGGGGCGGGGAGGAAGGAGAGATGGAGGGAGAAAGAGATCTAGACAGCATGAGCGCAGGAGATAGAGAGTAAAGGTGAGTTGTTTAAAGGACGCGACCCAGTTGCCTGTGTACCCATCAGCTGCTTATTGATCGGCTCACCTGGGTGGACGGCCTCCAACATCCCCACTGCACTGCACTGCACTGCACTGTGAGCCCCTCTCCAGTGGCCAGCCTTTTAATGACAATTAATCCAAGCTGCAAATTTCCCCATATCACTGCACTCATCCTCTCTTCATACTCTCCCCATTACCTCATCCTTAAAAAACAATATTGATATCAACACCACTCATATACCTGCCGGAGAGTGTAGCACAGACAGGAGTGGATAAGGAGAAGAAATTTATGGTAGCTGCTTAATTTTTATTGGTGTCGCACCTTACGGACAGCATGACAAGAGTCCCTGAAAGAGAACTGAAAAATGTCTCCCCTAGTGCAAAGATTAGAGACAAGAACTAAATGTGAAAGTTAGCACGTTAACATAAATGAGGAGAAGAATCCAGTGGCTTTTACAGCCATGCTCACTTTTCTCAATTTCTCTTATATTTTCTCTTTAATTTCAGTGCACCAAACGTTCTTAACCATCCAAATCTGCTCTTACCCAGGTGTGCTGAAAGATGAGTCCCACTTAATTATAAGTTACCTATTAGCATCGATAATACCCCCTAAACACTATACAAGGGCAGGAGTTGTGCCGTGTAAAAATACTCTGCCACATGCCCAAGTGATGGAGAGATGCCACCGAAAAAAGAAGAAAAAGAAATCTTGCAGCAGTGAAATCAGCACACTGTTCAATAAACTTAAAGTAAAACTGATTTCCCAGAGCATCAGTACTGCGTTACGGGAAAATCAAACACCAAGTAATGGCAAACGTTTGTGATGCTGTAAATGCCGTGTCAACATGCACAGTAACTGAAATTACAATATTTGGCATCAATGGACCAAATATAGTAGTATTTTAAACATACAATTGAATTTGATATTCATCTTTATTTCCCTCTATTCATCTCTAAGAAAACATTGGTAAATCACAGAAATCAATGGGTACAAACAAAATAAGAGAGAATTTGTTGGTATATCACTCCTTGCATGAGGGCCATGGTGTGTTACAGGGTTGGTTGACCAAATTACAAAAAAAAAAAAACACAAAACATTTTCCCACTTACCTCTCGTGGTTTCTGGCTACTATGATTTCTGCCTCTATCTCAACACAATAGAGGTAAACAGAATTTCGTTTGTGGTGATACAAGCATTGAAAACCTAAATTCAACACCAATATCTCCCCTCAGAAACAGTGTCCCCATTATCATCCACAATCCATGGACCTCATAGTGAACAGTTTTTCCATTGCCGCGCTGAGATCCAGAGTAACAAGGACATCATGGCTGGAGAGATACGTTGCTGTAGTTTTTCATTGCTGTGAGCACCTCAAATGAAATTCCTTTGACACCCATTATAATGGAGCGAAGGCATAAATCTCTAAAATAGATATTTCAGGACATGGGCAAATAAAACCAAAACCAATTGACCTTTTCACACAGTATGTGCTTTTCGCTGTGATGAAGTCAGTTGCTTAGATTTCATACCTGTCTACCAATGTGACTGCTAAAAAAAACTGCTTTGGTAGACAATATCTGGGCAAATAAGATAAGATAAGATACACCTTTATTGATCCCACAATTGAGAAATTCAACAGCTCCAAAAAGGCCAGTTGTACTTAGAAAACTTGCTTGTGTTGATGCAGCAGTGCAACTAAAAACATCAGCAGAGGTACTCCTTCTTGTCCATGTATTTGGTGAACTCAGCCCACAGTGCTTCCACTGCAATGTCATTAATTATAAGGGGAAGCTATTACTGTCAATCAATATGCACATTCCCACATGCTAATCCAATAAGAAAGCCATTGAGCCTATGAAGCATGTAACCAAGTAGTTCCATTCAGGGCCATAACCTGGTCTTTAGCTGCCCATGGGGAATAGAAATCTATGATGGGTTCAATGGCAATATTTTATCTCAACTGATAATAGAACGATATATAAGGACACACAGGATATAATATAATAGAATATTGATGAGTTTGAATGTGAATTCCTTGAATCAATATCACAATGAGATTAAGACGGGCCGACTGTATACAGCCAAATGGCTGCTGTCCTAAGCAAAACTGTCAAATTTTATCTGCTTAGGGATCCTATCTCATTTCCATTCCTGTATTTCTCAGATGATAAGTGGTTATAAAAAATGTTCATACTGAAAATAACTCTAACTGTGTGTTTTATAACACCACCCAGTACAGAATGGATTAATCAATGGTGGAATTTCTCTAGTGGGAGTAAAAAGCCTTGATATGAAGAAACGCAGATAGAGATGTCATAGTGGGCTCTGGGAAAATGGGTTCGGTATTTTTCTCACATTTTATATCCATAAAATCATCAAATGATAAATCGATAATGAAAATAATCATTAGTTGCAGACCAGCTTGTTAGTATTATTCCACAAAGACATTTATAACGTTACTGTAAACTAATGAAACCTTTCCTTGATTAAAACTACCTTCCACTGCAGCCCAGAAGCTCATCCTGTGTGTTACTTTGCCTTATCTGACCTCAGATCAGTCAACCACTGCTAATGGCTGACACTGTGCTCTTTCTGCCCTGGCAGCCGGACACAGGCCACTCAGGAGGGCAGTGTGACTCCTCATCACCCTCATTTACTTGGGCCCCGCTAACGAGGGATGACAAACAAGATGAGAAAGGAAGGTGGGAGGGAGCAGCTTAACAAGTCCTGTAATTACTCATTCACGACTCTTATCTTCCCCGCAGACTCTCCTATCGAACCGGACAGGACACGGCCAACTGCGACACATGCCGGAACAGCGCATGCATTATTTACAGGTTAGTGGCCATTCCTCTTCAAAGACACCACGATCCAAATGTGCCCTGTCCTTTCTCCTTGAGGTAAAGTGAACAGGTGGAAAAGGGATGTTGGTAGAGGAAGGGGACGCAAGACTAATGTGGATGCTGTTAATGAGCACATGGGGATGTGTGACATTTGCACACCGCTCTCATTCTCTCTCAATCTATACATCTTTGTCTGATTCTCCCATTGTCCGTTCACACCCTTTCATTCACGGAAGGGGTTGTAGCAGGTGTATGGTTGGCTGGATTTAGAGACAAAAGGTTGAAAAGCAGAGTGGATGCATATGATAGAAAGAGTGAGCACAGGGCTGCAAAAGGTGAAATTAATTACCAGTCAAGCATCATGAAATATCATCTCTGTGTGCTGTTGCCAAGCCAACTCAGCCTCTGCATACTTTCAAATTCAGTTATATTGATTTGACCACCAGTAAAGACGTGAGTCCAAAGTCATTAGTCTGCCACGGTACATAGTTTTTTTCTTTATGAAGGTATGTATGTGTAAGCATATGCGATGCTGGCTCGTCTGAGCTCAACTCAAGACTGCTGATGGAGTCACCTGTGACTCAGCCTGTTAAGTTGCCAGCAGTTCTTTCTTTCAGAAGATAAAGCACGTCACCTTCAACAACCAGCCTTCAACAAAGTCAGCTAGCCAAGTCAGTGAACTGTCTGCAGACAGTTTGTTTGCTTGATGTGGCTTTCTCTGACAACAGCCTCCTGTCCCTACCAAACGCATCTCATTTACGTCCCTGCAGCTGTTGACACCTATGTTGGTCTCTGTCCTCACGGTGTGTCGTGTTGGACTGTGGGTCGCTACTGCTGCTTACTGTACATGCGCGTGTCACACACACATACACAGCTTACTCACTGACTGATTAATCTGTGCTGGTTGTTTGAATTATTGCGATGTATTTATTAGAAATCCAGTCCATCTGAAGCTCAGGTCGTTTCATGTTTTCACTGTTTCATCACTACTAGAAATGCGAATGTAGCATCTATCTCACCTTCACTATCTTCATCCATATTTCAAAACGCTACATATTGTATTCGGCTGCGAAAAAGGTGTAAAAAGCTGAAAATCAGAATTCAAGTACAGAGAGTCTTGTCTAGTGGCAGGCTTTCAGAACACTGCAAACAGGCGCATTGCAACTTACATGTTTCATCTCATATCACTAAGAATCTTGGGTCTGAATTTGGCTTTATAGTGACACCGATACCAATAGAGTACTTCTTTTGATACTTTTTTTCGGCTTCATTCCATACCCGTTGTGTGAATGGAAGCAGTCAGTTGGGTAAAATGCCACCAGACACCACAGACGTGTGGTATAGCCATACTTTCGAGTGTTTTGATGGCATCTCGGCACGCTGAACGGCCAGCTCCACCAAATGCACTGCACTCGACTTCATCATGTCACAAACTGTATGGGTTGTAGCTGCTGCAGTAGTGTGCCAGTCACCCTAAGCTTGCGGTGATTGGCTGAGAGAGAAATTATAAAAATCGTCTTTCTTTTCTAGATTTCAGTACAAAAAGACTTGGCACTAGGGATGCTACGGTGAGGACATTTTCCCACCAGTTCATTAACTTCTGATGACACTAGTGTTGCTAGTTCCAATTCCATCATTAACTTTATTTGGTCCCCTACTGGCATTGGCTTTAGATCTGAAATATTTCCAAATGGGTGCTTTTGCAACTGACAACTTCCCTTACTCTCATTGTGTGATAAGTGAAATGTGATTCCTGCTACTCTATGTTGCAACTCTGCTATTGCAGACACTTTTAGTTAATAGTAATGTCCGATGTATTGATGAAAATAAAAAGCAAAATGACGGTGAGGGCAGTGGGTAAGTTGTATAAACAGTGTAGGCCTTACAGGTTATTTTGGTTGATATCTTAACAGTCTTGAGTACTGATGTCCAGCCCTAGTATTCATTGTTATTTTTTGACAGTATAAACACAAAACAAATCACAAATTTATCATAAACGAGATTGGGGATCTATAGCAACTCCAACGGCTCTAAGCACAGCAGTGCTTTTAGCAAATGCTAACGTCAGCATAATAACGTGACAGTGACAATGCCAACATGCTGATATTTAGCAGGTATAATCTCCATCATGGTAACCATCTTTAAGTTTAACTGTTAGATGGGAATGTCATTAGTTTAGCATGTATTACCAAAGTATTTGAAAAATTTGACTTGATTATGTTTCTAAATGAAAAGTCAAGGGATGACCAAAGTCATTAGAATTTAGCCTGTGGGTCCTTGAACACTGTAGCAAATTTCACAGCAAACTATCAAATAGTTGGCAAGAATTTTCATTCTGTAGTAGAAATGTGAACAGACATGTACCGATACCACTTTTTCCTTCCCGATACCGATTCCGATCCCTGAACCTTAGGTATTTGCTGATACCGAGTACTGATCCGATACCAGCGCGTAAAACAAAAATGGATGGGATATGAATTGTTGTATGTCTCAACTCCTAAAACTCTATAGTAGAATGAATGCCATAAAACTTTTTTTTAATTATTATTATCCAGTGTTGACACAGATCAAGACACAGGTTAAAGTGCAGCCACACAATTTGGTAAAAAATACATTTTAAAGGCTACAGTAGAATGCTTTTTAAACTCCGCTCCATTACCGTTTCGTTTGCCTGTAGCGCGCGTATGTATAATGACGTGAGGTATTATGTGGTATCAGATTGGTCATAGGCTGTACTCGCCAATACCCGATACCGCATTTTAAGCAGTATCGGAGGCATTTCCGATACTGGTATCTGTATCAGTACAACTCTAAATGTGAACCTCACAGTCATGTTCAAAAAAAATCAGGGGATTACCAAAGTTATAAGGATGCATCCTTTAGGCATAATGAATGCCTGTACAAAATTTCATGACAAACCAACCAATAGTTGTTAAGATATTTCAGTCTGGACTGAAGTGGTGAACTTCCCTGGAGTCATGTGTAGAATCCATAGAATAATCATATAACAAAAACAACCACTTACAGCCCTGTTGTGAAACTGAGTGTGGGATCAAGTTCACAGTCAGTGGCCCTGACCTCTCAACACAGCCTCGCAGGTCCTAACAGCTCTGTCAGGCCTGAGCCTTCCTCTGTGATACACAGCGAGACTGACAGCCTGCAGCCCCATGAGGGCCCTTTGCTCACAGTTAGAATTGCATGACACAACCTTAACGTGCATATGTGCATGAGTGTCCAGCTGTTTTTCTGTTTGGTGCTTAGAAAAAAGTGTAATTCCAACAGTCAAAAAAGAACAGGAGGCGGGAAAATATGAGAAAGAAAAGAGATTTAAAGAGTAGGAGGGTGAGAGGCGATCAATAAAACTGTTTTTAGTGGACACTGCTGTTCCACTCAGTCGGCGTTTCGCCTCTGAAGAACCATTTAAATCATTTTCTATCTACTGCTCTCAATAACTGATAAGCCTCTGGCCAAACTTCAGTCGGCTCCTGAAAATGAAGGAGCAGGGCGCAGCTCTGTTCTCTCTGATGTTTGAGCTGAGGAAGGTGCATCGTGTCTTAAAGCCGAGTGTGTTTAAATTGCGGCAGGACCCCCGCATGGCCGCGGGGGGGACAACAAGAAAGGTTGCTTTTTTACAACAATTCAATGACAGCAAGATAAAGTGAGGTGAGCTGAATTATGGCACATGATGTGAAGGACACTGGAAGAGCACAACATGGGTATGTGTGCAGGGTTAAAGGATTGGATGACAGGACAGACTGCTGAGATGGGAGCTCGCCTGGTATTATAAATTAGTCTGCACCATGTTTAATGTGATTTGGCCCCTGGGGACGAGAGGGCCCTGCTCCCTCTGGTCTACCTATCCTCCATCTCCGCTCTGCCTGCCTGCCTGAGTAAAGACCAACTGTGCTTGCCCTGCTGTGCCAGCCTCTGCAGACTTTAGAGACGCTTGCTAACCATCCCTCTGAATCTGTGAGCACAGACTGCAGTGTGATAACGCGTCTGAAATCAAAAAAATATCAGTAATTACATTCTACGGCTTTTTGTCAAGATATCTTGGCAGCTCAGAGTGTACCTATACTCATCACTGGTGTGTTGGGGAAGGTGTTTCATTTATATATCACCATGACCTGAATTCCCAATGAGGGTTTAAAATATGCTAAATGCAGGGTGCTGCGATAAAAGCTATGATAAAATGTGCCCATTTGAATATGAGCCAATTATACATACGTATCAGTCAGAGGTCCAACTATAAGTCTTATCTTGATTTCTCTTACCTTCACTTTAAAATCCCCGGAGAGAAACTGTAAGAGTGTTATATAAAGGTGTCATGCACTAAGACAGGTCCGATTTATCTTGATGTGGTCATACTTGATTGTACAATGAGTTTGTTTACATGGACATGAGTAACAGGTTTATGATCAGGTTTTTGGAGTATCCTGTTCATGTGTTTGAACATGAGTGTGCGGTTGAGAGAGAGATGGTGGTCGGTGCCCTGAGCAGACAGCTGTTGGCAATCGGAGCAGAGAAGAAATTAGGAGTTAAATTGTCATTTGTCAGTAATCTCCTACTGCCGGTTTGTTTATGTAAACATCACGGGTGCTTGCACAAATAGATTGCAGTGATCAGTTACCAGGTTGCTGGTATCTTTCATGTATACTGGGAATATGAATAACCCACGTAAACACCATATCCCAAATATGATCACACCCTGGATAAGCCTCATAAACGGGTTAATTATGTCCGTGTAAACGCACTAAATGACAACTGTCTTCGCACAGGTGCTATATTAACATCAAATCTCCACATTCAGCTCCCCAGATCTGCCACAATCAATTGAAACGCTTCATCAGTGCAGGAAGTACGGAAAAACATAAACTCGATACAAAACAGAAGGCTCGTTTTTGACAAAGCTCGCCGGCGCCTGGCAAGGTTTCAACTTGATAAAGGGCAGAAATTTCGAAGTGAGATGTTTGAAATCTGTAAAATTGACCCAA